GGGGGTGGGGGGGGAATCAAACTCCAAACCAAAGGGGACTTACAACTGACAAGCAGATGCCCGACCAACTAGTCTGAGCACGCGACTTATATATCTATATCTATATCTATATATATACACATATACATATTCACATGTACATATAGACATATACATATACATATACACATACATATAGATGTATACTTATACAGATACATACATACATACATATAATACATACATACATACATATAATACATACATACACACATACACATAATATACATATATATATATATATATATAAACTTCAATTTTTACATGTATATGGGCCACCTTATCCATGCATGATAAGGTCTATTTAACTTTTAAAAGTTAAAATAATGATACATTTGTTGTGATATGAAACATTTGGGGTTTATGGTTGTAAAAAATATTCTTTACCTATTAAATATGTAAATAAATAAGAGTTGGGTGGTTTGTATGTAAATGCCTACGACAAAATCAGACTTTTTTAGGAGGGCAAACTGTTCCGTCGATCTAATTTGAGAGGAGCTGGGGCAATGAATGACAAAGTGATATTTCAAGTGGTGCAAAACTGATATTTCAGGAGGAGTAAAAGCCTAAATTGCCCTCGTAAAATTTTAAATTTAAGGGGGGCAATTGTCCTCATGGACCCTACGAGTGTCCGCCATATAGATGCCACCTTTTTATCTGTTAGAATTATTACATACATTAATTTTAAAAAACACAAAAAAGCATGTCAATCATGATAGAGATCTTCATTAAGCTAAATAAAAGGAAGAAGAAATTCATACTCAAGACCTTATCATTCAAAGACAACACTTATGTACACCATATATAACAACTACAATATGTTTTAATTTTTATCATACAAATATATCATAATGAGCTAAATATAAATAAATAAAAAGTTTATTTATGTTTTGTTTATTAAGGAATTAACTCTAAATATTATGTTTATAGTCAACATGTTAGTTAAGAAATAAATTATCTCATCGATGTAGCCCACTTCACATAATAATTGTATGTTTTGCCTCTAATCATAAGATTTTAGTTCAATGACCATTACATCTAGTTGTATGTGTATGTTAAAAAATAAGAAAGAACATGCTAATTAGCAAACGAGCCAAACAAAAAATAATTAATGAGTTAAACATAAATTGTTCACAAATGTTAATCTAGACACGTTTTCGTGTAATCATATTCATTTTTTCTTTCTTCACATAGAATAAAATAAAAGAAAAAACATAAATTGCAAGGAAGAGTAATGGCATTATACATTGTACATTCCATTTCTCTAAATGCTATTTGGCCAACTCACCTTTAACCACTATTTCTATAAGGTAATTAAGCATTACACCAAATCTCTCAGAACCCAACAAAGGACAAAGAGACACCCACCCAAACTAGGAACTCCACTTCACTTCACTCCAATCTTCCAACATCTGTACTTGAGAGTTTTTACATCTCTACATTCTATTTTTCTCATACTTTCCTAATACTTTCTTACCACCTTAAATACACTGTAAATCCAAAACAAAATAAAAATATTTCCATGAAGTCTCATTATTGCACTATATGTTGTCTCCTCCCACATGCTTTGAAGCAACATTATCATCTAGGGATGGATTATAGTTCCCAAACCATCTTGACCAAAACAGATAGTTGAAGAAGTTGAGCAGGCTGAGACACGCCAGAACCCAATAGAACAAGTCCAGTCTATCCTTATTAAGATCATTATCACCAAGCCAACCACCATAAGATTCTGAACTGGTGATCCTATTCACCATTGAAACCAACACAGAGCTCAAATAAAACCCAAAAGAGTAAGAGCAGTAAGTCATCGCTGTGAGGACCTGCTAAAGACTGCTTGTAAAAGAACTCAATGAGTCCCACAGCAGTAAACATTTCAGAAATCCCAAAAATTAGGAACTGTGGTGTGATCCAGAAGATGGAAAGGAGATCGCTTTCTTTCAATGAAGCCTCGTCTCTTCTCTTCTTCTCCACGAGAGCTGCAGAAACCATTGAGAAAGTGACGGAGAAGAGGCCGACGCCAATGCGTTGCAGAGGAGTGATGCCGGATTCATGGCCTGTGAGTCTGCGAGCGAAGGGGACAAAGGCTATTTCGTAGAGAGGGACAAGGATTATGAGGATTAAGTAGGGGATAGCTTGGAGAGAAGCAGGAGGAATGCTGAAGGAATTTGTGAGGTGAGTATTCATTGCTCTGCCTTGTTGAACTGAGAAAGTCTGGAGTTGAGCTAAGATGGTGTTGAAGACAATGGTGCAAGCGAAGATTGGAATTACAGAGAGGATTATCTTCACTTGTTCGACTTCTGAAGCTGTGCAGAGCCGCCATGAGCTTTCTTTGCCGCCTTCCTGAACTCTGATGCAGGCTTTGTTGAGGAACCTGTAACAGTAATCACTCAAATTAAAAGCTTTAAGTTGCCAAGTTCTTACAAGATTAAGAAAACCCAGTGTGAAAAAACTAAATTGTGAATTTAAGAAAAAAAAAAAAGTTTTTGAAATATGAAATCAATGTAGAAGTCCAATCAAATTGAATTCTAAATGATAAAATTAAAAAATAAAAGCAGTGGGATGAGCCTCGACCTGAATTTTTCAGTGAGGAAACGGTTTCCAGTATTTGAGGAAGGATCAGAGACAGCTAAATGGTTGGTGCCATTGGAAGGGCAAACTTGCTTTCGCTTGGTAATAGCGGCCACTAAAACCTGCAGAAATAATGAGTCTTTTTTTTTAGTTAAAGTTGCCATTATTGATTAGAAGACCAAGAAACTACAAGAACATTGCTTTCCGCACTAACAAAATAATAAATTTTTAATACATAAGCTTTTAAGATACCATTTATATATATATATATATGAGTAGTTTAATATATGAAGAGCTGGTGGACTAATATTATATACTCTTTGTATGATAAATAATTTTGATTCATGAAAAGTACATTTTTTAAACTAAAAAGAGTGAGGGTGGTGTGTATTTAATTAATAACTGAAACCAGCATATATATAATGAGATATTACTTTGTAATTAATGTTGTTTAAATTAAAACTTTGCACCAAAGATGCATTATCAGGAGGCACGATGTAAAAGGCAGATGCGGTCCTCCGCACTAGATTAATCACCCATAACAAAAAGGATTTATTAAAGAAATTTACATCGAAGTAATTAGACTAACACTTCCTTAAACTAAAAAGATTCTCATATGGACTTATAATTAGCTAAATGATTCTTCATCTTTACAGACAGAAATGATAGGCTTTCTGTAACTATAGGCTAATTAGCAGAAAACCTTAAATAAACTACAGAGTAGACAACAGAACAAACTGAATCTGTAACCAGCACACAGTTTTAGTTTAATATAAATGGAAAGTGGATTAGGCTTAAAGTAGTAGTAGCAGGAATAATCAATATGGCCATTCAGACTAATGTGGAGTATGAGTTTAATCAAAAAAATGAAAAATTGTAGCTATCCACAGGCAAAAAAAGAATTCTAATAATTACAATCATAATAACCCCTTGACATTAGAAATGATAACAAGTTCCACTAACTAAAAGTAATTAGTTTGGTTGGATTGTTATTGTGCTTTTCAGCTGCTCTACCTTTAAGAAAATTGACATATCATAATTTTGATTTAAACATAAATCATAGAGAAAAACAGAATATATAACGCATGCAATTTTTTTTCCTCAAAGAATTAACACAACTCTCTCATTTAATGAGAATAAACATAAGATAACTATGTACAAAACTATGTTAAATATTCCTCAATGAATGAGCAACCCTTCCATTTTATGAGAACAAATATAGGATGATTTGGGCATTTACATACACAACCCAATATATTTATGTTTTTACATATATCTTACACTTTAGTTTTCATATTTAGATCAAAAAGATCACCGACACAATCTTTTTAAAAGTGAAAAACACATTTTCATGCATAGACTTATGACACCAAGATGTTATTAATTATGTTATAAATCATGTAAATATCAATCCAAGTGTTAGATATCTAAATACATCAGAGTTGTATGGTATGTAAGTAAATTTCCCAAGATAATTCTATACAAAACTAGGTTAAGTATAGTACCCTTGCTATTGGAGTAAAGATGCTGCCTTGAGGAGGCTTGTTTCTATAAAAGATCATGCCGAAGATCAAGCTCAAGAGCCCCAATGCCATGGCCGCTGCCGAGATGGCGAAACCGATGTCCATCCCTGACCTCGTTTGAACCCAAACGAGAATGGTGAGCGCGAAGAGCTCGCCAACGCAGAAGCTGAAATAGGCCGAGTTAAAGTAAGTCGAAAGCTTTTTTGATTGTTTGGGATCTTCCTTCATGAACTGATCAGCACCATGAGAAATCATGTTGGGCTTTAAGCAACCACTGCCTAAGGCCACAAGGTAAAGAGCTACAAAGAATATTGTAGCTTTAAAGCCTTCAGCTTCAATACAATGATCCTCTTTTGACATCATGTTGCATTTGGGTGGCCTCAATTGAGGAAGATGTGCTTGCACACAGAGTAGAATAAAGCCCTGACAGACAAACCAGAACATGTTTAGAAAAGAAGTTTATTCTTCAGTGAGATGAGCACTCTTCATAAAATTGAATTTTATTATAGTTAAGGGGTGGATAATATAAATATTAAGTTAATAAAATAAAGTCAATTAAATTGAAAAATAATGAAATAAATAATTTTTTTTTTTTTTTGCATGATTGGAAGTGTGAGATTGTATGAGTACTTTCCTCTTTTTTTTTCTAGTTAGAGAGAAATTAAAAGGATAGCAGCTTTTTCATGTTTCCTTTTTTTTTTTCCTAATATTGGACATAAATGAAAATCTATTCATTATTACATTTGGTATTTGCAGAGGAAAAAAGAATGAATATGGTCAGTGAAGAATAACCCAAAAAACATTCATCATTAGACCAAGGGAAGAAAAATTTTCTCACCTTATTTTCAATATTAATTTCTATAATATATCCTGAAAATAACCACCTTATGCTTTACATTTAACATTTCAATTGGAGATGCAGATAACACGGAGGGAAACAAAAGTTATATTAAATTACAAAAAATCTTTGACCACCTTATTAAACGTCCGGTAAGTGTTGGTCGGGTCAAATATTGCAACGGATTAACTTTTGAAATAAGAGTAATTTTGTGAGAAAGCATGTAGTTTCTAAGTTTTTGGGCTGCGAAAATTAAAACTAGACAATGTTTCTCAATAGGCGGATACTTTATTTTCGTTTAGGGTTTGCGTGTTAATTAAATTTCAATGCATAAGAAAAAATTAGGATGATTTTAGTAAAAGAGAGCTTCTCTCAAAAACAGCAAGTAAAATTAACATACTTTCAACTTCCAAATTAGAAAAGAAACCTTGTATATGTTAAGGTGGTGGCCGAGCCAATATTAAATATTAATTATTTAAAATGCACTAAATTCATGGGCATGAAAACAATACCCATGCTCTTTTTAAAAATACATGATTTAATTTTTTTTTTTAAAAAAAGAAAACTCACCGAAAGTTCAACAAATCCAAATATGAGCATGGTCCAGAAGCTGCCCAAGTAAGAATCAGATAGAAAACCACCAAGCAGAGAAAGGATGAACACTGTGCCGATGAAGTTTGTGACAATATTTGCTGCCTTGAACAGTGGGAAGTGCATATCGTCGAAGACATAAGTTATGAGATTATTTCCCACAGCTGCTATAGCCATGATTTCAAATGCTTGAATGCCTACAAAGAAAGCCAAATTAAAATAGAAATACCCAAATGAAATACTGCTACAAGATCATAAGTTAAATTTTCATTAAAATCTTTCCTTTAATTTAAAGGAATTGGATTGGAAGAGAAAGAGAGAAAAAGACCTAGAACAAATACGGCAGCACGCATGCCTCCATGTTTATTTGGCTTGCAGGGGTGGCCTTTCCAGTCTAAAGAGAGCCCGGCTTCCATGGCTGAGTAAAGCTGCTTCTTTTGGAAATCTGGATATCTTTCGTGGTGGGCTGTGTTTAAACGCTGCTCAACTGGGTGCTCTTATTTATAGAAGGAACAAGCGGAGCACAGACTCAAGTCTGTAGAGAGAGCGAGAGAGCGAGGTGGGTAAAATCTCTACCCAGGGATTTACAACCAAAATTTCAAAATTTTCTATAAGACTGGAAAAATTATATTTAGAGACCCTAATAGATCAGAATGATAATTATTTCTCGATTATTTATATGAGGCCGTTTTAGTCCCAGACTTTATAATCTTTATGACTAAAATAGTCAATATGAAAGATTATTAGAGCTCAATTTTAAAATAGTCGGGAATTTTGTGGACCCTTCTGTAAAGTCTAGGATTAAAATGACCGAATGTAAATAGTAGGAGACTATTTTGGCATTTTGCACTATATAAGTAAGATTGCTCTATATAAACAATAAGGCACTAAAATCGAGGGCACAAGTAATTTGAGTGCTAATGTTTTTTTTTTTAATTTAGTTTACAAATTAATATTCATATGTGTGATTTGTACTTCGAGAATCAAATTCTTTCAAAAATTATAAAAATTATAATTCATGTAAAAGTAAGAGTGAGTGTTTTTGAAAATTATTTTCTTATTTGCTGATAACTTTCTTTTACTTTCGATCAAGTATTTCATGAGGCTTTGGTCAATATCTTTTTCCTTTCTTGAAATGTAATTTAGAAGGGGCCGATGCATACCACACAATTCTTATGTATTTACATAACTTACACCAAAGTTTTCATTTTTATAAGCATAGCACTCAAATTTTTAATATAATATGAAAAATATCTCTTTTATTCTTTTAAAAAGTGGAAGGCACAACTTCATGCAAAATTTCAAGTCGACAAAGTCATATTATATATATAAATATAAATATTTAGGTGTTATACATATATAAATACATAAGAATCGTATATTATGTACGTTAAATTTCCTTAATAAAATATATAATTATTAAGTGTGAGTATGAATCCCACAGTGTAGGAACTGAGCGTTGGATTGAGGGCCAGATGAAGAATAGGTCCTTAATGTTAATTACAATTGGTAATTTTATGAGCATTTGCCCTGGTTAGTTAGTGGGGACATTTGACGTTAGAGGAGAAAATAATTGGTGGTTAGGGCTGGGGGTCGATTTTGGGGTAGGCTAAACGGTCAAAGGATAGTGCTGGTCACTATTGGAGGGTCAGATTTTGCCGTGCTTTTGAGTGTGCATAGTGGGGATCCCACAAGAAATTTGGTCTCCCCCGTAGAAACCCAATGCCCCACTTTGTTTATCCTGACCATCTATATATATATATATATATATACATACATAGATATGGAAGATATGTCATATTATAATGTATGCAAATGTGCATTTGACCTTTTAAATATTTAAACAGTAATATTTTTTAACAAAATATAAAAAAATTGGATGGTTTAATGTTAAAAAAAATAGGTATTGAGTGATATGCATTAGCTCATTTATGGGTTCGTGTCTTTATATATATATATAAGAAAGAATACTAACATGATACATACGGCATTAATGCGAGAGAAAAAAAATATAAATATTTCTTTTAAGATGTCTTCCCTCACTCGCCCATTTTTGATTCAGCGAAGATAGTCTATTGAGGCTTATTAGAAGGCCTTAGTGATAAAGAAAAAAGACATTTACATACATACCACCCAATTCCAATACACTTGCATATCTATAACACCTAAATTTTAGGTTTTACCTTAATACCTTTCAAATCATTCGTACCACATAAATAATACAACCATTTCTTACATATAAAAGGTGAAGCACATCTTTTCATGCATAAACAAGGTGGCATGCTTGTAAAAATTAAATATTAGGTGTTAGATATGTGAATAAATAGGAATTGAGCGGATGAATATTGATCCTCCTTACAAAAAATGAGAATCAATTGACCTCACAGTTCTTTGATGGTATATTATGAATGATGTTGGTCGTGGCTTGGCGATTGCTACAGATGATAGAGAGTCCTCTAATAGATCGCTTTTATAACAAACAAATGATGTTTTACATTTTAATTTTTTGATAATATATTACTAATCAAGGGAATTAAGTTTAGTAATAGTTGGTTTAGTATTATATTTTATATTGTTAAATCTAAGATTGTTTGTGAACTAAACACAAGGAATAGAGCAAAAATGAGGAGGGAGAGAGAGAGAGAGAGAGAGAGAGAGAGAGAGAGAGAGAGAGAGAGAGAGAGAGAGAGAGAGAGAGAGAGAGAGAGAGAGAGAGAGAGAGAGAGGAAGCTGAAAAGTAAAAACAAATGGTTGAATTTTTTTATTGAGGGGATCCACCATTTATCTCAAAAGACTTCTATATAAATAATCTCATAAGAAATCAAAGAGTAACATATTATCTCGAAATATATAAATATTACCTTAAAATGGATCCGATTGTTCAGATGAGGAAAATTTTTGGGATTTATGATTTTGCGGAACCAGAATTTTTCCCTTAGTTTACAGGTGTAAAATATTATTGTTTTTATTATGAGGTATAGTATTTTTATAAGGGGGTTCCCTCATAATTAATTACATCGAAGAATTATTCTAGAGCAAACACTCGATTAAAGCTATGCCTTATATTTTTCTTATTCATTAATGAAATGTTTATCGAATAATAGGATTTTAAGACTTCGATGGAATGGATGAGATTGGATAGGTTGACTTTACTTGAGTTTCAAAATGATTTACTTTTAGGGTTGAGCCCAATAGTTGAGTATCATAGTGATGATCTTGAGCTTGAATCAATGAATCAAGTTTGAGAAATCACTTGGATGGGATTGGATTCGATCACATTGGACCTTTTTTGGATCCTGATTGGATTGAATTTGGAGTTGAATTTTGAACAGTTCTGAATCAAAGTTGAATTAGATTTGAGATATGATTGGGCTAGATTTGGGTTAGGATTGAAATAGGTTTAGATTAGGTTGGATAGAATCTCAGATTGATTTGGGATTTGATTGAGTTGGAATTGAATTTAGTTTAAAAGGGATGGATTGGATTGAGTTTGGTTTGATTGATTTTTGAGTTTTGTTTGATTAACTTTTGTTTTTGGTTTGATTTGATTAAAATGAATTGATTTAAGAGATATCATAGTCTATGGGGTAAGAAAGGACAAAATTTCTAGATGGAAGTGAAGCCCTAACCTAAATATCTCTATGCAGAAAACTATAGATGGCCTAACCTAATTTTTGGAGTAACAAACCGGTCAAGATGCGCATGACATTCCATCATCCCGGATACATTGTTAACCTCAGACAATTAACCACTAGAATAATAGAAGTTCTCCTTCATTATCATAGTAATGACTTAAGGTATTCCTTCTTTCTATAAAAGTGGTTGTGACTATCTTATTTAGTAGCATAGACTACTTCATTCTAGGATACTCATAATAATATGGGGCAAATCAGTTTACTTTATATGTCCTAGTCCTTTATTTTAATTTTATGGGGAACTTAGAACTAACCTAAGACTTCTAGACTGGACTAATCTAAGGTATGTATTGGACCTAGGTTTTCTTTTGTGTTAGTTACCCTAAAGGCATAGTTTGGAGCTATCCTGAGGTGTGGTTTATAAAGGTTAGAGTTGATCAATTTTAAATGTTTTGAGTTTTGATTATTAATAATGATTTATTTTCTTCTAGAAATCGTCAGTCATGATGACAAATCAATGGTTTTCTAGGTTCTATTTGGTTATTTTTTACATTCTAAGTGAAGTTTTGGTAAATTGTCAATTAAATATTATTTTTTTATTCTATATTTCGGTTTTCTTCCTAAAACTTTGTTCTCCCTCCCCAAGTCTTATTTATGGTCGAGAGATGTATTCTGAACAAATGTAGCTTAGCTTCTTAATTTAAATTATCATAATAAAACTTACTTTTATTCCCATTAAAGTAATAAAAAGTATTCAATTTCAAACAAAAATATGCAAATATGTCTAAAAATAATTTTAACATTCAAAGTATTTGGGAATTTAAGTTTAGCTTCATTATAGATTATCTAAATTAAGGTAACCCACAACTTATATACTCAGGAGTCCGAGGCTACGAAATTATACGTGTTTAGGGAGAAACTTATTCATTCATTTAGTCACTCAATCTAAGTGAATATATAAGTCTTGTCTAGGCTAAGCAAGTGAAAAAAGTCTGAAAAGCTTATATTTTATTTTAGATTCCTAAAACTCAAAAGTAAATTATCTTTAAAAAATGAACTTAATTTTTTAAAGAAAAGATAAGTTGTTTTGGAAGATTTAATTGGTTTTGATTGATCTTTTAATCTTTCATAAAGAAAGTAATTGAAAGAAGAAATTCTTTAAAGAGAATTCTTTTCAAGTATTTTCATAAGATTCTTTAAAAGAATTTAAACTATAATTATTTGAAAAGATTTTTTTTTTTTGAGATTAAATTCTTTTATGTTTTTAAGGAATAGACTTTCTAAGACGATAAGTTCTTATAAGAACTTTTCCAAAAGAAGACTCAAAGTTTTAAAATTGGAACTTTCTTTTTGAAAGAGTTTTCTAAAAAAATCGTCTTAAAAAGAGAATCTTAAAAAAAGTATCCTGAAAAAGATTGAAATCCTTTTTCTTGAGTTTTTCTAAGAATTTAAGAGATTACAACTCATTAAGTTGAAGTATAAAAGTTTCTTTCTTAATATTTTGATTTAATTTAAAAGTGGTGTTTATTTTAGAGTACTTTTAACTGATGTAGAAAAAAAATTTAATGATTTTATTAATTTGAAAAGACTTTTAATTTTTTTAGCATTTTTAATTGAAGTAGAAAGTTTTTCATGAGCTTTTAAACCTTAGGTGACTTTTTACTTGAAGTAAAAGAGATTTTATTTTAATGAAAATTTTAAAAAAATTCTTTTTAAGGAAATTTAATTTATAATATATAAAAATATGTAAATTATTTATAATTTTAAACTTATTTGTCAGGCTTCCTTTCATCTCACTCAACACAAAGTAGTTTCAATTGTTCTCTTATATCTCTCATCCATCAAATGAACATTTTCCATTATTCTATTTATTATGAGAAAAATAGTAAATAAACTTGTAAACATTCTAACATGGAAGGAAAAACATGTAA